GAGCCCCTGCCTAGAATCCCCCAGTGAGGGGCTGGGGTGTGGCTCAGGGGTAGAGCCCCTGCCTAGAATCCCCCAGTGAGGGGCTGGGGTTTGGCTCCGTGTTTGCTTGACCTGGGCAAGGTCATGGCTCCATTTCCGTTGTCAAAGAAGGAAAACTGAAAACCCAGCCTAACCAGCAGCAATGCCCCCAGGACCTTCAACTCCACCATAGCTGGCACTCAACAGTCACGTGCTGTTGGAGGTCCTGAGGTCACGGCATTGCCATGTCCTTCCTTCCTTCCTTCCTTCCTGCCTTCCTTCCTTCCTTCCTTCCTTCCTTCCTTCCTTCCTTCCTTCCTGGTTTTTCTAGACAGGGTTTCTCTGTGTGGCCCTGGCTGTCCTGGACCTTGCTCTGTAGACCAAGCTGGTCTCGAACTCACAGAGATCCGCCTCCTGAGAACTCAAATGAAAGGCACATGCCACTACTGCCCAGCACAGGGCTCTGCTTCAGCCCGCATTCTCCCAATTCCCCTTATCGGGATCGGTACCAGCAGCAGACCCAGAGCCTCGCGTGCTCCCCGGTGTGTGGGCAGGGACCGGCCACTGTGAGAACCCCAGAAGCCAGGCCCCATGCCTTCCGGCCCTGCCCACCTCGGGCCACTGGCCTGCATGTGCGTGCACAACATCTGTGTGTCTGGGGCCACAGAGACTGGAAGAGCGCATCTGAACCCTGAAACAGGAGCCGTACGTGGGGGCTGAGTGTGAAACCTGGGTCCTCTGAAAGAACAGCTCCACCACCAAGCCATCTCTCCAGCTTCCGAACTCATACTGTGTGTGTGTGGTGTGCACACTTGTGTAAGTACCAGGGCTTGAGTGTGTGCACAGAATCCGGAGAAGAGCTGCAGCACTCAGCCGACTCTGCCTTTGAGGCGAGCTATCTCCCGGAACCCCGAGTGCACAGTTTGGTTTCTCCTGGACAGTGGCACCTCCGTGGCTGGGCGTGATAGCACGCCTGTAGTACCCACACTCGGAGCTGGATCAAGAGCCTCGAAGAAACAAAACAGGCTCGGCGGTCTTCCTCGCCTCTTCCTCCCGTCCTGGGGGCCGGTTGACAGGGAGGTTTCTGAGGCTGGTGCCGAGAAGCCAGATGAAGTGCAACCCCTTGAACCAGCCACAGATCAGTGCGACGCTCTCCCTGCCAAGAGCGTAGGTGGGCGGAGGGATGGAAGCTGCCTGCTTCCTAATGGTCTCTCCACCTATCCTCAGAGAATCCTCATTGTGGTACCCAGTCCCGAAAGGCATGTCTGACTCCCTTGCAGCTAGGCAAGGCCATGTGATAAAGTTTACTCTAATTGGACCTAAGCAAAACTATCGCATAGTAACTTACAAAGTAGTTCCTAGTAAAGGAGACAGACCCCTTTGTTCTGCGGGACACCCTCATGCACCCTGGAAACAGGATGGGAGACGTGGACTTCTGGCAGCCGTTCTGGGTCCCAGCGACCAGACGCAGTAACAGAACAAGAGCTGAAAGCGTCTGAGTCTTTGTTGGTAATGACTTCTTTAGTGTCGGGATGTCTAAGGCTCCTCTGACATTTCAGCTAGCGTCTCCTGGAGTGACAAACTCACTCCTTCAATCCTTGCCTCAAATGGTGCTCAGGCCAAAGGACCACAAGCCCTTCCCCTCCTCAGCCCTGACACTCAGCCCTTCGTCAGTATCTGCATATCTTACTGTTAAAACATACCATGATTCCCTCTGCCCCCCAGAACCCTTCCCGGCATGGCCTCCAATCCAATCTCTCCAGAGCCTATCTGTGGCTCCCCCAAGCCTGCCCCTCCCATCCAGGCTGAGCTGTAGCACGTGACCGTCTTGACTCTGCCTTGCACATGCTAAGAACACAGGCGCGCCACCACACCCAGAGTTTATGGATATTTTTTCCTTTTCATTCCATTTCTTTCTTTCTCTTTTCTCCTCCTCCTCCTCTTCTTTTTTGATTTTTGGAGATGGGGTTTCTCTGTGTAGCCCTGGCTGTCCTAGACTCTCCCTGTAGACCAGGCTGGCCTTGAACTCACAGAGATCCATCTGCTCAGCCTCCCGAGTGCTGGGATCACAGGCGCGTGCCACCACCTGGCTCCTCTTTTTAAACCTATGATTGATCTTTACGTGTGTAAGCTTTTTGCCTGCACATAGGCCTGGTGCCCTCAGGAGTGAGGGGTAGGCGCCAGACACCCCTGCAACTGGAATTCCGGACGGTTGTGAGCGGCCGTGCAGGTGCTGGGTCCTCTGTGCTCTGGGCACTTGGAGAGACCCTCTGCCAAAAAAGCGGTAGGGCGGGCAGGGTGGCTCAGTGAGCAACGGTGCCAGGGGAGGGGACAAGCGAGCACAGGCGCTTGCCCTAAGATGGACATCCATGTTTGTCCCTGTACCCCACATGATGGAGGGAGAAACGGCTGCTGCCCTTTGTCCTCCGCCCGCCACACCGTCATGGCACCTGCCCCCCCCCACACATACACATGACTTAAGAAGCGAGGGGCTGAGAGCGGCCCCCGGGACCGAGGGCAGCCAGCTCCTCCAGGGACCCGGCCTGATGCCCAGCACGGCGGCTCCCCGACACCCGTGAGCTCCCGCTCAGGAAATTCTGGGCCTGCTTCTGGCCTCTGCGGGCACCAGGCACACACGTGGCACACAGACATGCACGTGACCACACACCACACCTATGAAATAAAAACCCCAAAGAGTCGGGCGTGGTGGCGCACGCCCCTAACCCCAGCACACAAGAGGAAGAGGCCGGGATCTCTGGGAGTTCCAGGCCAGCCAGGCCTCCCCGTGAGCTCTCGGCTGGCAAGGGTGACAGTGACCCTGCCCCAAATAAGCATGTGAAAATGAAGGCAGAGAGCGAGGCTTAAAAAAAGAATATTAAACACACGCACACAGATGTATGCCCGCACGCACACTCGCGCACACAGCTTATCCCATCGTCACACGCCTTGAACACGTGACCTTTGTAGCCTCCCGGGTGCCGGGCTGCCCGGGGTGGACCACTGTGCCAACAGGGATGAAGCTTAGGCTGGGCCCCTGCCGGGTGCAAGGCCTCAGAGCCCTGCTGGGGCCAGCAGCACCCAGCCCTGGCCCGCAGCCTGGCCGTGCCCCTCCCTCACCGACCTCCAGGCTTCCCTGTCCCTCGGGCACGCTGAGCTTGCTCCCGCCTCAGGGCCTTGACGTGTGCTTTCCTCCTCCTGGTCATGACCTCTGGCCTCTGACCCCTGACCTCGCCCAGAGGCCTCTCCCTCACTCTCTCTGCCTCCGGCACACTCCCCGACACGCTGCCGTGTTCTGTGGAAGCACACGCGCTCCATGCAGGCACCAAGCTTGGGCTCCCACCCCCAGCCAGGACCTGTGCTGGGCCTCAGTCACCCCCCAGGCGTGGAGGCAGGAGGATCAGTGGGTGAAGGTCACCCCCCTGAGTGTCTCGTCAGAAGCCAGCCTGGGCTACCGGACATGGGCTGGACAGTGGTGACACCAGGCTCACAACCTCCAGCAGCTGCAGCTCCGGGAACCTGCCTCTGACGTCCTAACACACACACACACACACACACACACACACACACACACACAGGCTTAAAAAAAGAATATTAAACACACGCACACAGATGTATGCACACACACAACACATATGCAGGTGCCCGAGCACACACACCCTCACGCTCGCACGCACCCACTCACAGAACCAGACAAGGTGGCACACGCCTTTAAACCCAGCACTTGAGAGGCGCAGGCAGAGCGAGCTCTGAGTCGGAGGCTAGCCTGGTCTACACCGTGATTCAAGGCCACGGAACAGAGACCCTGACTCAGGCGAACAAACGGAAGCAGAACCGGATCATGGAGGGGCTCAGTCGGTAAAGACGGCCAGCCGCGCCTCCTCCCGGGACCCGCACCTGCACAGAGACGGGAGTTTAAAAAGAAGTGGACAGAACACTTAGCGCTCGCAGGAGATGCTCGGTGAGACTTCCGATGGGAAGGCCGTGGCCTGCTCCTGTGGCCGTGGACACGTGTGTCTCACCACACAGACCAGGCTGCAGTCCAGGGTGGCCCTGAACCCCTCCCTCGTCCTTAGCAGCTGGGGCCCCAGTGTGCCCTGCCACACCCTGCCCTGGGATCTCTGTCAAGGCGGAGCCCGGCCCTCACCATCCGTGTGACCTTGAGGAAGGGCGCTAGCCTTTGTTAGCCAGTCCACGACATCTCACAGGGACAGCTTCGCAGGGGCCAGCCTGGTGCCCTCTGCGTCGTCACAGGCCAGGCCCTGGGAAAACCAGTGTGCACGGGCAAGAAAGGGAAAACCTTGCCGGCTGTGGAGGCAGAGGCAAGAGTTGCTCCGTGAGTTCGAGGCCAGCCTGGTGGACAGAGAGAGTTCCAGGCTAGCCGGGGCTTCTACGGTGAAACCCCATCTCACAAAACCAAATCTCAAAACTAAACTCTTGGGCTGGGACAAGGCCTAGTTGGTGGAGCCGGCACACACCTGTAATTCTGGCATTTGGGGGTGGAGGCAGAGGGAGCCAGAGTTCAAGCCGCCCTTGACTGAGCCAGCCTGAGGTCTGACACAAAACAGAAGATCCAAGCGGACAGAAGCCCTCAGCCCACCTCTGCCAGACCTCACAGCTGAGGCCAACCCGCCCCATTTCACAGGCATGGAGAGTGAGGCTTGGGGGTTACCCGAGGTCAGCCAGTGACAAAGTGGGGACCCCGACCTCCACCCTTCCCGTTCCCCAGCTGCTCTCTGCTCCAGGGTGCAGACGGGGCGAGGGGGGGCTTTTGTTTAATTCCCTCCCCCCACTGAGGAGTCAGTAAGCGAGCGTGTCTCTGCCTAGAATACTAATTGCCCCACGTCTTTTGTTCCTGGTTGGGGGGGTGAGGGCGGGACTTTCTGGTGAGAGAGGGGCTAGGCTTCTGGGACTGGGGCAAGGACCTTGAAATGGTGCTGACAGCCAGAAGTCATGGGGAACTGTGCTCCGAGAAAGAGTGCGGGAGTTCTGGGAAGGGGCTGTCGTGACTCAGGAGTCCTCCCCTCTCAGACCCACGACCACAGGCAACAACTGTCTCAGGCCCAGCCTCCTCCCTCAGACCAGGGGTCCAGGCCCAGCCTCCTCCCTCAGACCTGGGGTCCTGGCCCAGCCTCCTCCCTCAGACCAGGGGTCCAGGCCCAGCCTCCTCCCTCAGACCAGGGGTCCAGGACAGCCTCCTCCCTCAGACTCATGAGACAGAGTCCAGGCCCAGCCTCTTCCCTCAGACTCATGAGACAGGGGTCCACAGAGCACAGCTGGTGGGTGTTCCCACAGAGACTAAGCAGAATGGGGGAGTACTTCCTGGGTCCTGAGTCAGCCAATACCCAAGGGAATCTCAAGGTCACAATTCTGGGAAGGTCATAGCCACCCCCTCTTTAGCCATTCCCCAGGGGTCCCTGGTACCATGCCTCTTTCCTTTTTCCTGCCCTGGGGAGCTGGTACATTCCTGGGTCCTGCCTGCACCCCCCCGAGCCCCCCATTAGTGGCGGAGTCCGGCACCCTGCACAAAGCATCAATTCTTCCAGCAGAGCAGCCCTGTGAAGGCGCCTGTATCTGCAGGCGTCAGGGGCAGCTCAGCCTCCCTTTCTCTGTCAACCGAAGAGGCAGAGCTTCTCTTTCCTCTTTCAGGACTCCCACTCACCTCAGATCTCAGATTTAGACCCCAGCCCTCTTCTCTCAGGACCATAAATCCCCATTCCAGCCCTCATCCTCAGACACAGGGGCTCAGGCCTTGCCATCCTCCCTCTGATACATAGGATCCAGGCCCAGCCCTCCTCCCTCAGATCCAGGGGTCCAGGCTCAGCCTCCTTCCTCAGATCCAGGGTCCAGGACAGCCTCCTCCGCCAGACCCAGGGGTCAAGTCTCAGCCCTCCTCCCCCAGACCCAGGGGTCCAGGCCGAGCCTCCTCCCTCAGACCCAGGGGTCCAGGCCCAGCCTCCTCCCTCAGATCCAGGAGTCCAGGCCCAGCCTCCTCCCTCAGACCTGGGGTCCAGGCCCAGCCTCCTCCCTCAGACCAGGGGTCCAGGACAGCCTCCTCCCTCAGACCAGGGGTCCAGGACAGCCTCCTCCCTCAGACCAGGGGTCAGGACAGCCTCCTCCCTCAGACCAGGGCTCAGGACAGCCTCCTCCCTCAGACCCAGGGGTCAAGGCTCAGCCCTCCTCCCTCAGACCAGGGGTCCAGCCTCAGCCCTCCTCCCTCAGACCAGGGGTCCAGGCTCAGCCTCCTCCCTCAGACCTGGGGTCCAGGACAGCCTCCTCCCTCAGACCTGGGGTCCAGGCCCAGCCTCCTCCCTCA